CATGGTAAGTTTGAGCAAAGTTGAGAAATGTAGGGGGAATTCTTATTATACCTAACAAAAATGATTTTTCTTACCCAGCAGGAATAGGACCGTCTCAGCTCCATTTGATAGATCCTGCATATATTTTTTCAAAAACCACTAAATTTTCCAAGAAATTATATTTTCAGAGGAACCATGATATTCATGAATTCAAGTCAAATTTGATTAATAAGTTTAGCCTTAAAATGTGGGGGGGACCTTCAAATGTCAAAAGATTTTAGCTTTGACATTTTCCAAATTTCAACATTTCTTTTCAAAATTACATTTTCTTTAAACAATTTGCCTACTTTTTAAACCAGGAAAAAGGTTTTAAAAAGTGTAAAACAACCTGAAACCAAAACCAATTGACTGGGGGTCAAATGCAGCAGCATAACTAAGAGGGGGCAACTGGGACACAAGCCACAGGTTCTCAGTAAGAAGGGAGGCAAGAGGGCTCAAAGCTTCAGTCAGGTAAAGCAGAGAGGGGTTAGGATTTCCTTCGTCAGCTCCCCGCTCCTCCTTTTCTTGGGAAACACCAGGGCTGTGAGGGGTTGTATTAAATGTCACCATCAAGAGCCAAGTTAATCCTTCTGCAGCCTTGCAGCCACTGGTGAATTCAGGGCTTTGGATCCTTGCTTAGCACATAAACGTGCAGTGGTTGCTGGGCCAGGGGAGGGTTAATCTGGCTGTTGGCAGTGACATGTCCCCCAGCTGTCTACTGTGTATGCTGCAGTCATGATCCCCCTGCCTTTTTTTCAGCATGCCAGGATGCAAGTTCTACCTCTAGTTGGTTGAAACGCTGCTTGTGGGAAAGCAGGGTAGGGGGAGGATTGATGTTTTAGGGGGGTTGTTTCTTCAAAATCCCTTCACAAGTTATGTTTTGGTTCAGCCTGACCTGAAAATAGTTTTCCAATTCTTGCCACAATCTCGGTTTAATCTCCAGCCTTTCCTTCTTCAATCTTGTAATCTGTTTTTCCATAATTCACATCTGGATTTCAAACCTCAAAACCACCATTGTCCTCCTGATTGAAACAGTAACCCTAAAGACCTCAAATGATCATAAGCAGCTTTCCACCCCAATACCCAGTCCCATGGCAACACCACAGATGTTTGTAATAGGCGTCTTCTCCTTGAAGACTTTGCGCTCTCAGCCTGTCTCTCCAGGCCCAGTAACAGTCACGCAAAGAGAAGTTCCTTCCTATGATGGATAATTAGCAACTGGGTTTAAACAGAGAACATTTTCCCTTTGTTTTGTGCCAGTAATGCTAAACTGAAGAAAAACATCCAGATGTTCCCTAAGCACAGATGTCTCATAGCTGCTGGGAACCTGCAGAAGGATCTCTTTTCACATCCAGAGAGCCAGTCTAGGGCCCCAGAATATATATCCCATACACCAGAGATGAGCAAAATATGGCCCGCAGGCCAAATCTGGCCCACCAAGCCATTCTCTCTGGCCCACAAGGCCCCTAAAAAATTTAGAAAATTATTATTTATCTACCCCTGGCTGCCTGTTAAAGATGACAGGAGACAGGGGCAGTAGGACCCAGGGGAAGCCACCAGCAGGCTCAAGCAGCTGCAAAAGCAAGACACAGTGGGCCCCCCCTTCTCCCCCAGCCAGAAGCCCCCTGCAGAGCAGAGAGTTCTTGTTGGGCCCCTGGCGCTGTTCCCGCCTCCCTCTGCCAGAGAAAAATTCAGATAAGGATGGGGAGGCAAGGGAGGACTGCGGCTGATCGTCCCAGTCCTCAGGGCTGGGCCAGGCCAGCTGCTGTGGTCCTGGCACTGCAGCTGGGAGTCACATGGTATCAGAGCAGCTGGTAGGGGCTGGAGAGGAGCTGTGGTAGCCACAGGCAAGGAAACACTGAAAGTGGCAGCAGGCAGGGGAAGGGGCAGCAAGCAGGCATGTGGAGCTCAGCAACAGCCAGGCGAGAGCACAGGGCCCATGCTGGTGTGCCAAGGCCAGGGCCAGTGGGGCCAAAATTGGGGGTGGTAGGAATGCGGGCCTGGGCAGGCAGGGATCTATAAAGCTGGGCCAGCTCCCCCCTCCCTGCTGGCACAACCTGGCCTGGCTCCATAGAGCCCCTGCCAGCCCCTGCCCTGTGCTCCTACCACCCCATTCTGGGCCCTGTTGGTGCAAGCCCCAGCACACCGGCGTGGCCCCGCACTCCAGCCCAGGTGCCTCTGTACTTTGTGTACCCTCTCACTGCCACTCCCTGCCCCACCCCTGCTGCTGCAGCCATTTGTCCACTGCTGCTACCACTCCCCTCCATGCCCCTGCCAGTTGCTCTGGCACCATGTGGTTCCTGGCTGCAGCACCAGGCCACAGAACACAGCAGGACCTAGCCTAGCCCCATGATTTTTGGCTGGCTCTGTGCAGTGCCAGCTGGGCCAGTCCAGCTTCTCCTGTGTCCTGCGGTCTTAGCCGTGCAGCTGGGATGTGATGCCAGAGCAGTGAGCTGGGGCAGGGAGAACAGGGAAGAAGGGCAGCAGTGGTAGACAGGGGGAAGTAGCTGCAACCCATGCGCTGGTGCCCTGGGGGCAAAAGCGCAGAAACCGAGCTTGGAGGAGCGCTGCAGGGGGCTCTGCCTGCCGCTGGGGGCTGTAGGCAAATCCTCCCCCTCCACACATGCCACAACCCTCCCCAGCTACCCGCCTCCCAGCACACTCACAGTCCCCGACAAACCCCATACCCCCCCCACCTGATATCCCCACACACACACACACACACACACTCACAGCCCCCCCACAAACTCCATACCCACCCACACCACATAGCCACACACCCACTCACATCCTCCCCCACCCCACATACACACATCCCTGCACCTATCCACTCCCCCACACCATCCCCACAGTATACAAAAGTAAGACTTCATTTTAAGCTATTGTGCAATCGCCTCTATGTACACTACACAAGCACATGTAAATCAGGACATGCCGGCTTATCAAATTAATGAATGTTGCAGTAAATGTTTGATTTTTAGAATACAATTTTGTATTTTTCTGGTTCTGAGATGGCAAAACCTCTTGCTGAAAGGAGTACTTCTGGGGAGGCAAGGGGAGGGACTTCCAGTGGCACAGGCCAGGGGCTAGGTGTGAGACTTTCAGTCCCAACGTGGTGACCAAGGGGTGGGGCATGTGTCAAGGGTTGGAGCTACCCTTGCAGCCCTCAATGGCTTGCCAAAACTCAGTAAGTAGCCCTTCACCAGAAATAATTGCCTACCCCTCCTATACACACTCAACTAAAGACTGCTGCCCCTTTTGATGCCACATAAAAGGTCATCACAATCAGAGTTTTTGAGAGACGATAATATCCTCAAACACTTGAGTAGATGGTTGCATATGGAGATCCTGGGTCCTGTTTTCTAACACCAATTACCCCAGTGGCTGATCAATTTAGCACATAATAACAAATAATTATAGTGCCATTTTACGTTTATCCAGCTTCTCTTTTCTCTGAAGTTCCCAAAGCACTTTACAAACTACACTTATGACCTCCTGACTGAGTTACTGTGCCACTGAAGGTGTAAAAACATTGTGGAAGACCAGCAAAAAACAGGCACACTTGTTTTTTTAATTAGTCAATTATATGCTTAGGAGACCATGACCATGTAAAGGAAGTGTAGCCATTTGTACGGTGGACACCAAGAGTTTCACACTGACACTTCACAACAATTAAGGATAGGGGAGTGAAGAAGGAAGCACAACCAATTTAATTTGTTAGGAGCATACATCACATCATTATCCAGTTTGGAGTGTATAACCATTAAGACATAGTGAGGTCTGGACTAGATGACAGCCGGAGGTCCCTTCCAGCCCTACTTTACTATGCTTCTATTTTTGCAAAAGGTGCTGAAGCCATTTCAATGAACTGATTAGCTGGGAAGCTTTAATGACCATACAGGAAGTCAGAGTACATGTTAGTGTTGCGTGAAAGAAAGCATTCCCCAGCTTTACACCTGCTGGTCCACTGGTCCACAGGGCAAGTGGGCTGTCTACTAAAACCTTCAGCATCACTTTCTGCAAGCTCCCTGGATTTCCTGTAAGCAGCTCCCATTTTAGTTCTGATTAGGTTTAGTTCTATTTACCTTGGAAGATCTAACAAAATCAGTGCCTGAGGTGACATACCAAGTTAAAAATAATAATAATGTGATTAATAGTAATTTTAATGCAATAGGCACTTACATTTCCAGTTATTCTAATTGGGGTGAAATTTACAAGGGCTATCAATCCTAGTATAACTGGTCATGAGTTGATCAGATATAATCTGAACTCAGGAAGGAATGTTCTCAGTGGGATTCAGAGGTTTCTATCCTTTTTCTCAAATCTTTAGGAAAAGGGATACTACTAGATGCACCATGGGTTTTTGCTGATGTAGCAACTCATATGCATGTTCTTATGCAACTCTCAGCCAAAATTTAAAGAATTACTGACAATGGTTAGCCCTCAGAGGAGAAGACATTAAAGTCTCATGAAGATCAGCTTAAATTAAGAAAAAGCTCCTTGCATTTCAGAAGCTGATCCAAAGCCCATTAAGTTAATGGGAGATTTTCTATCGACTTCTATGGACACTGAATCAGGTCAGTGCAGAGAAGTTCTGTGATACCAATTCAGGGGACAGAAATCTGGGAAGTCTATGACTATTAGTCAGCAAACTAGTCAGTGTATGAGCTGCACATGGGAAAGACCCAAAAGCATGGAGTGTCAGGCCTCTGTAACACGGTTGGTAGAAAACAGGCATTCCAAGGTCAAGGAGAGGTGTTTATGACTGTAGACCTTATCTCGAAATGTGTTCATAGAATGGGAGGACCGGGTATGCCCTTATTGCATTATTGGGCCATATTTTTTTATTCCTAGTTTTCCTTTCTAAAAAAAAGTTGGACTTTGGCTTATTAAGAAACTGCTTACACTCAGTTATCCCCCTTTTGTTTCATTTTATTAGTACTAGAAAATTTAATTTTTAACCACGTAATGGTATTATTGCAGTTTTATTGGAAAAGGAGTTAAGGAAGTCATGCAAGAAAGGGAGGTGAAGGGGAATGGAAAATGTTTCCCCTTGCTATGGATAGGCTATTCACAGAACTATGACTAGGGAAGAGGTAGTGATGCCCTTCTCTCCCTGACCCTGCCAAGAATACTTCCGTGAGGCCCTGTAAAATTTATTTTTGCCTACATGGCAAATTTCCTTGGTACTTCAGCATTGAAACTCTGGAGCCTTTTCTCTTTTCTAGAAGTTAAATGGATACTTGTTTTTTTCCAGTCAAGGTTGTTACAAGACATATTCCTGTACTGTGAGGAAGGTTTTGCTTCCCCATTTCAGGAAAAGGGAGCAGATATCCAGTTGGTTTGAGGAGGACACCAGGCCCTGGAGCAGATAAAAGCAGCAGAGCCTTTCACTCTCAGAAGACCAATTATGATCTGAAGGAGCTGGGGTATGGTTGGGATAGGAGGAGGTTTTTTCAAAGGGGACTGGTTGAGGAAGAAAAGATCCTAGGGATTGTTGGGTGGAGGTGATTGTGGGGGAAGTGACAGGAGCAGGGAGAGCTCGCTGTTTTGACTCAGCTTCTGACTTTTTGGCTGTCCATAAAAATGTTAAAACTTCTGATGGGTCACTCAGAGGGGTCTCTACTAAAAAGCTGAGTTTGGCAGCTACTTTGAGAAATGGCCCACCTGAGCACACCTCTATGGGGCTAGATTCATGTACCCCTACAAAGCCTTCCCTAGTCCATGAAAAAGACACACCAAAGAGTGAGTGAGTGAGTGAGTGAGTGAGTGATCGATGTATGGATGAATAGATGAAACTTTCTCCTCTACCACTCACATCTTGTATATGGTGCACATTTCCAGACTTACCACCTCCATTTTTGTAACAGAGATAAGGAAACCTCCAGACGTTGCCCAAGCCAATGATCTCCCCAGCCACGGACAACACAAATTCCACTTTGTTACTCCACTGGCCTCTTTCCTCCATTTGCTCCTTTTCTGGCTCTTCAGGCACCATGATAACCCCATTGGACTTAACCTCCTTTGCTGCTTTCTTCCCCATGGCTCTGTAAAAGAGAGGATCACCCCAAAAAAAACAGAGCATGAGAAGTGAAACAGAACACCAAACCGATACATTCACATATCAGCTACTCCAGGGAAACACCATTTGAAAGTTATCTGCTCCATGTAGAAGGCTGTTTCTTACATTGTGTAAACTAGCTGATACTCCTGCTGAATTCAGCACTGGTGAGACCACAGTTGGAGTACTGCATCCAGTTCTGGGCACCGCATTTCAATCAGGATGTGGAAATCCTTAAGAGGGTCCAGAAAAGAGCCACCCATATGATCTGGGACTTGCAAGGCAAGCCATACGAGGAAAGGCTGAGGGACCTGGGCCTCTTTAGCCTAAAGAAGAAAAGGTTGAGAGGGGACTTGATAGCATCTTACCGCTATATCAAAGGAGTGCATCAGGAGCTCGGTGAACAACTGTTCACTAGGGCACCCCTGGGGAAGACCAGGACCAATGGATACAAACTCCTGGAAGGCTACTTCAGGCTTAATACCAGGAAAAACTCCTTCACAGTCAGGGGGTCCAGACTGTGGAATAGGCTCTCTCCAGAGGTGGTGCAATTGCCTACCCTAAAGGTTTAAGAGGAGACTGAACAGTCACTTCGCTAGGGTCACCTAACCCCAGTTGTCTTCCTGCCTAGAGTGGAGGGGCTGGACCCGATGATCTGCGAGGTAGCTTCCAGCCCCTAACAATCTATGAATTTATGAATAAAAATGCCCTGACTATGTGGGTTGTCGGGCTTTGGAACAGGCTACCCAGAGAAGTTGCAGAATCTCCATCCTTGGGAGCTTTCAAAAGCAAGTTAGGCACTTCATAGGGATGGTTTAGTCAGGGGTGATCCTTCCTTGAACAGGGCCAGCTGACTTTATGAGGTCCCTTACAGCCCTACTTTCCTACTATCTTATGAGCCTATGATATTGGTTTCTGTCAGCAGCAGTCAGTGACTCTGATAGATTCCTACTCTGAATGAATATAGAAAACCCTACAGTCTTATAGTCAGGAGTCCCGATTTCCTGTTTTTGACCCCCCACTGGCCAACTCAGCTAATTAAAGTATAGTACACACAGAAAAATGCAAACCCACTTCTTTGACTTAGGCTTGCTTCCATAGCAACAAACCTCCACACCAGCATCCACCCCTGCAAACCAAACAGGGTAACAATGTCCGTGAGATTTAAGACACATAAAATCTATACTCCTGTAAATGCTTGTGAAATGCTCAGGTACTTTAGTGTTAGGCTGGATATAAGAATATTAAACAGATAGATTAAATGACTAGTGAAAACATTAATAGAAAAACATGTTGTTTAGCCATGTTTTGGCCACATTTACACTGTGAAAATACATCCTATTAGAAAGTGCATTCAGCAAGATATCAGGGGTATAGGTTGTAGCTATGTTGGTCTAAGGACATAGGCAGACAAAATTCCTTGGGTAAATCTGATATCTTTTATTAAACTAACTCAGACAGTTGGAAAAATGCTTTTTTACAAGCTTTCAGGTATGGCTTTTAGAGAGGTCTAACAAAAAATAGTAGAGTTAATCATGGCCAGATAGCAAGTTTGTAAAGA